TCGACTAAAAAACCCCCGCTCTTCCGCAGTATGAGGTAAAACATGAATTTGTCGGGTCCCACTTTGTAATACACTATTTCTCCAATGTTCCTGTCTCTCGAATCAAGAAACGAATAATCATGGAAGAAATTAATCACTTTGTCATTCTTCCAGTCTGAAGGATCGCAGGACGTCACATATACTTGGGAGCACGAATTCAGAGGACTGAATGTGCAGAAGGTGCCGAGTTCTTCAATAATCATGGTCTGGCTTGTGTTCCGCGTGCTGTGTTTTCAGGGCAAAGTCTGTGTGGTGAATGTGGTCCGGCTCTGTTTTGGGCCTCCTTTTATCCGTTTGAATAGTGAGCGCTTGGCGCGGTGTGGCAGAGCGGTGGCAGTCCGAGTGGTCGCCGTGGGGGGGCAGCACGTCCCGGAAGTCAGCGCAGCGCTGATGTCAGCATCTTGGCGACGAAGTGTCGCGCCGCGCCGCGAGGAGCAGTGAGGGAGCGACCCGGCATGCGGGTGATGTCAGCAAAGATAACGCGTCTCTCGCCCCGTGCCAGCTCGTCCCAGCGTGCAGCAGCAGACCCGCTAGCGACGGGCGTTATTATTCATCACACAGAGAATCCAACACATCGTGTAAACCATAATCCTCGTCGTCGAACAGTGTGTCGGTGTACCCGTAGGGTACTGTTCTGCCTTGAGATACCCTGCGTCTTTTATTCAAGCATACACGCCATGTTTTCGTCGTGTCGCGCGTCACGGTCCTCCACCCGGGAATGCGTGCGATCTGGGAAGGTATGTTTACAGTGGTGATTTTCTTTCCATCAGAAAGAACCATATCCTTCAGTCTATCAAATGTGACAACATTGTCACATGACGTGTTAATAGAGATTCCGCGCACTTTTACAATTGTCTTCGTGTCATTAGGATTGCCGCTGACATGGACCAAATACCCATAATTTTTACAACCTGCTGAAATCCATTTCGCTATGTAACTGCCTTCTCCGAAGTCATCGGCCAACTGATCAGTCATATCACCCAGATATTTGCCGATCTCTGGTTCAGGCTGTCCCGGGACCGAGAGGAAACACACAGAGTCTGTAAGAGACAAAAAGTGAGGTTAGTATCTCTCATCTAAGAAGTACTTTTGTATATATTATCTGAGTAGGGTAACTCACCAGTGTCGTGGTAAAGTGCTCTTTCACCAACAATGTCTAAATATTTGTACAACAGCAGACGCCCGTGAGCAGTTGTTTGAGCTGCATGTATCAAGGAGGTCGTCTTGAAGCACTCATCCAATTGCTCCTTTGGAGTGTACCTCACTTGAATACATTCCTCGCTCAGTGGGAGAATGGAGTTGATGACAATGGCGCTGTTTTGCGTCAACTGGATGAGATGGCCATAGTCGAATACTAATTCTGTCATAGGACGGAGTGTTCTTTCTCCCATCTTTCCCCCTGGAAAAATAAAATAAGGTCAGTACATTGTCAAGATCATTTGGATTTTTTTTTTATCTTTAGGAAGATTATACTTTCAGAAAGAGTTGAGAACAAGTTTAGCTATAAACCGTTTCCCTGGATTTTTTTCCACTCTGTCTTTTCTTATGACAAAATCTGTCAAATATTTCTTTGATGAACTTATCCTTTTCTTCGTCTGTGGAGACATGTGATGGCCAACCTGATGCTTCGTATTTTAATGCCATGTTTTCTCTCACGTACGAAGAAAAAAGTCCGTCAGTTTTGGTTTCAGGATCATATACCTTTGAACCAGGGTATTGAAGTAGCTCATGCACTCTCATTATAATGTACCCTTTTTTTACAGCCAGCTGTAACTCTATGATACACCATGAACCAATCAACATCCTGTCCTGAGGGTCTTCATGAAGACATTCTTCTTGATTTTGGTTCTCTGCACAAGTGCAGCATAAGGGAAAAATCAACTTGGAGCAGCATTTGATTCCCAGGACTGGCAGAAACAAATTTTTTGGAGGTAAAATTTGTACAAGTGCCACTCCGATCCATTGGTCCACTGGGGGCATGTTACTGTTACCTTCAAGATAGACAGTGGTGTGCCCCGTCACGTAGGCACACTTAAAATTGGCAAAGGGGTATTCAGAACAGATGTCGAATAGCTTAATGCATTCTCCCTTTTCAAGGTTAGCTTTCTTGTATGAACGTAATGCAGAGGTGCGTCCGCCGCACAGAGTGACACGTAAATTGAGAACAAGTGTTTCTGAGGGAGGATTGTTTTTAAAGTACTCTTTCATTTTTGGGTCGTGCTCACATTCATGTCTGAATTGACACTCCCACTTTTCGCGCACTGTGAAGTGATTTCTTTTGAACATGTCTGTGATTCTCATTGTGCTGTCGTACTTGTCACTACCCTGTTTTTTCCTGAGACTTCTTCTCGTCTTGACATCGGGATAGCATGTGGGGCACATGTGATAGTAGCAGCCATGGAACTGAAAAATAATTTTTCCATCCTCCCTCAGTAGTTCTGTGTAGCCATCCACTGGCTTCCCCATGACTCTGACTTCGCCCGTTTTCTGCTGTTTTAATTTTTGCAATGTCACCCAGAACACTCTGCTCATATTGGAGCCATTTCAGTGCTATTTTGCTTTGAAGATCAGCCATTCTATAGCCCCCTTTTGGCATGAGACCGATTGTGTACGGTTGTAAATGTTTGTATCGGTACATTGCCATGCATGCAGAGGAGAGTGTGAGACAGTGATGGAGAGGGTCGAATCCTGTGATTTCTATGAAAGAATCTTTGTACGACTCGAGACTCCGTCGTAGAATGTCCGTGTCTGAGCTGCAGTAAGCCAGAATCTCATGTTTGAAGTTGAATATATAATTGGCTGAGCGATAGCGAAGCCTATTACTCCAGTGATGATCGAAAAGTTTCGTGTCTGTCTGTCTGTC